AGTCCTGCTGGGGACCACCTAGAAGCAGCGTGAGTCAGAGAGGCTACTCTGCGTGCACGTCAGCATACAGCTGCCCTGGATTTCAATTCTGGACCATTGCAGAGGAGTCATCAGAGAACAGAGTGGGGGCAAGGTCTGCTAGACTGTCAGGGCTTCCAAGAGAAGCCAGTTTTTCCTTTTGAGATGTGGCTTTGTGGAATAAACACAGCATTATCTGTAAGGCTTAATTTTTTCACTGTGGTTTTAACTTCACGTGGATATGACAAATGCTGAGGAACCTCAGCTTGGTCCTGATCCAAATACTGACTCGAGGCCCTGTCCAGCATACCTGGACAAAGCAACATCAAATCAGAAGAGAACATATCCATTTCAGACTGGCAGGTCAGCCCAAGGGTTATGAGGGACTCTGGACATTATCTTGTTGGGAAGTTTGGTGAGTGTGAATAGAAAGCAGTCCTGTTTCTGCTACAGACCAAGATGTTCCATTTGCTGAATGAGAGCATGAGCAGGCTTGATCTTTCATTTCATGTGCAGCACAACTACGTGCATATATGTGTATCTCTACCACACCTCCACCCCCACAAAAGATGTACATACACATTCAGGAACACGGAGACCTTCCGGGTGAGTCATGGTGTTCCTGATGTCTCTATTGCAGGCAGCTGCATCATCTAATTCCTTTCATCAAGTACCATTGTAAAAGTTTACCATTTTCTTGTTGTAGCTCTGTTCCCTCGGGAGGCAGCCTTAGAGTCTCCCTGCTCTGATAGTTACAATTCCCCCTCTAGATTCCAGCATCAAATAATTCACAGTCAGTTTACATTCTTTGTTTGTAAGCCAAAGTTTCTCTTTAAGCCTAAATAGTTCCTGTCCCTCTCTGGTACTTTCCCTCTTGTGTTTGCAGTCTGATTTCTCAAAGGAAACAAAGATGGCTCAGTCACACTGTCTGGCTGGCAGTCTCAGCCTTCCTCAAGTCATTTGTAACTTTTTGGCCAATTTCAACCAGTGCTGGCAAGTGCGCAGTGGCTGGAAACACAGGCAGCCCTTCGAACTTGGGTGATAGTTGTTGACTGGGTACCAAACAGAGACTTGGCATAACACTGTCATTCAGGTCAAGGCAGTGATAATTCAGCCCTTCTCCACAATCAGAGACAACCAACAGCTGGCCAGTTGTGCATTAATTTCTACTAGCCCAGTATAGCAGACCTGGGAGAAAGCTTGAGAGTTATCTCTGGCAAGAGAGGACAGAGCTTGCTGTAGAATACCGGATGAAAGGATTGAGCAGTTTAAAGTCTTAATCTATAGGAAACAAATTTGTGGAACACTTAGTTGTAGAGGACAGATGTGATTTAAATATGTGCAAGGATACTGATGTATTCTAGGAAAGAGAGAAACAGATGATCAGGAAAACCTAGATCAGTGCATTTTCTCCCTGTGGCAGATGACCAGCACAACACATTCACATCACTCAACTCACTTCAGCCCTCAGCACAGGACATAAGTGATACATAGGTCTCCTGCTGGCCCCTCTACACAGGGGCACATGTCACCCAGTGAGACAGAGAGGATAATTGAGATGATTGGTCCTTTACATATCTGCTAGCCAGGACCATGGGCCATGGGACTCATAAACTGTCAGACTTGTGGATGCAAATCAACCTTTAGGCACTTGATCAAAGGCACCCTTTCAACTTATCGCCTTGGTTTGCCTCCATTTTAAGCTACAGGCCCGCAGTCCACAGCACTGAGGTCTTGCCATTACTGCTATGTCAGCATTTTCAGAGCAAATGCACCCCTGTGGCCATTGTTAAGAGGTGCTGCTGATCCATTGCTGAGATGGACTCAGAAAGCGCTAGGAAGGCTTTCTGTTTTGCCCAGTTGTCTGGCCTGAAGCTCTCTGGGACCCAGATCTGACTGCATATCTGACGTGTGTTTCTGTAACTGATGTGACACCTGTCTTATATAGTACTGGAGTACATTTTTTTAAACAAATAGTATATTGAGAGAAAGCACAAGCATGAAACTCCAAAGGCATTTGCTTTCATGTTTCAGTGTACATTCGTTTACTTGGACAGATTAAGCAGATAGGAGGGAGAAAGACAGAAATCAGTTTGCCTACCGAAGATGCCCTTCTGAAGGTGACCTATCAGCTGTGGAGTTTTCTGGTGCTGTCATCATCCTTATTGCTGAGCATGCCCTCACAACAGATCTTTACCAATTGAAGTGAGAGAACACTTAACATCCTAATAGTTTGACTGATGTAGTGCTTATGTTATACATAATGATGGAGACTCATGAAAGAGCTTGCTATGAAGAAGTTCTTCCCATTAGCTGCAAAGTTTATCCTTCTGAAAATTTCTTATTGGAGTTTACCAGGCTTAAGTAAAGGGTACACTCCAGGTGTTCAGTGCTGGATGATTCAACTTGTTATCTAAACGTGACATTATCCCCGCTGCAAGAAACAAGAACTGCAAAATCTGATATCCCTGTAAGGGGACAAATAGTCTTTTCCTAGTTTGGAGAAGTGAGGTACAGAGGGAGTGATTGGTCTCAGATTTATCAGGGTGCCTGGGGCAGTCTGGAGACTGAAGCCAAGAAGCAGAAATTGCACAGGGTTCTTCTTCCTCGCACTGCCCACTTCAGCTGACTTGCAGCTTCTTTGTGTTCCTGGAGCGGTAAGCTGCCACAATAAGGTACCCGGTGTATCTTTCCCTCTGTCTTACCTCAATATGGGTTAGTCACTGTAGGTTTACCTACAACAGCAGCCAACAGGGTTGTGCTAAGTAATATGTCAGTGAGGGCTCTACAAGTGCCAATTAGCAAAATTAACAGATTGCCAAAAATTCTCTGGCTTTCTGTTCAGGAACGAGTGTAAATTCATGCTGTATATTAATAACATAAACAAAATACAACGTAACATTTGAGTAAAGACTTCATACTTAACCCAGAGGAAGAATATGCTGCACAGGTGGCGCTCTGAGTAAGTAAAAGCTCCTGGTGCATAGAAGGCAGATGCAAAAATGCCATCTTATACACCAGAAAAGCATGATACCTCTGAGCACAATCCTCTGCCCTTGCTCAGAATCTGGAAGTGGTGTCATTCAGGTGTGTACCCCACACCCAGTTGTCCCTGCCTACTGGTAACTGCCATCCAGCAGTACATCATTCTTTGGGAGGACAATCGTTGGTGGCACCTGAGTTCTACCAGGTGGAGAAACTGCTTTGACATGAGGACCAAGGTAGGGGTCAAGCACGGGACAGGGTGGCCCACCCCTGGCAGAGTTCACCTCCAGACACAGTCACATGCCTGCAGTGCATCTGTGGCTACGGTAACACAAAAAAGTGTGAGTTCCTGGCATTTGTAAAGGAGGCTGGCACCATCAAAGGAAGGCTGGATACTTGTTCTGCCAGAAACAAAGGGCACAGGGGAGAAGCACAGGGCTGAAGTGAAGTTGTTGTGACCAAATTCGTGGCCAGCATGTGAAATCTAAAAGCAGTGATTGTATCTGTACATTTTCAGATGATGCTGTTTTGTGCATTGCCCTTTAGCAGACAACAGTAAAGAGAGAGAGAGCAGTAGAGAGCTTTGATTTTGGTTTAATTAATTTTGTCAGTCCCCTTTCACAAGATACTCTGAGGACAGTTGTATGAGTTGTTGTGACCAAATTCGTGGCCAGCATGTGAAATCTAAAAGCAGTGATTGTATCTGTACATTTTCAGATGATGCTGTTTTGTGCATTGCCCTTTAGCAGACAACAGTAAAGAGAGAGAGAGCAGTAGAGAGCTTTGATTTTGGTTTAATTAATTTTGTCAGTCCCCTTTCACAAGATACTCTGAGGACAGTTGTATGAATGTAGCCGCTGTTATGGCTGTATAGCAGGAGGGGTGAAATACCTCAGGATTTCAACCCATGCCTGAGCTGGCCAGATCTGAGATTTCTGTATCAAAAGGCTGGAATGCTGAGCTGTGTGGGAAGGAGGGTTTTCTTCTCCTTGTAGCCAGTTCAACAGAAACACTAGCCATCATCCCTCAAGAGTGTCCAGTCCAGGCAAGCAAGGAGTTGTCTGAGCTTTTCAGGCAAAAGCCATCTCTCATATCTCCCAATATAGAAACTTTTCTCTTACTTTTTCACCATCACTTCACAAGGTAGAAAAAGAGCAGCATAGTGTATTTACATATGCTGTGTCAACATACTAAGAATAGTTATTGGCATGGTTTACTTTCTCACATTTCAATACAAGTGTCAGAAGGAGTCACAGTAGGAGGCAAAATTACCCTGGCTCCCTCAACTTGCATCCAATGGAGTGTGTATGGTATATAGTAAGTTACCTCCAATTCCTTTTAGGTTAGGATTTTAAACAAGAAGATCGATTTTAGTGATATTCAATCCCGGTGTGGTTCCAGAGATAACATCAAACATTCTGCAGGGGGAGGAAATGTAAGTAGTATGCACATCTTGTGAACAGGCATTTCCACTGTGGTGACCCACCTTGCACAGCCAGACCCCTCTGTCTGCCTTCCTCTGAGCACTACTCTCCTCCTTGCTACTCTTTCACACGGGAGTCTGGTCTGGTAGTCATGTGAGCCCTGCATATGCAGTGATGGCCTCCTGATCCTTCTCCACAGAGCTCAACACGTTTGCCAGAATTTGGATAGGAAAAAGAAATGAGAAAAGAAAGGTTATCTCCAACCACCTGGGGGTGTTGACAGTAGAAGTTCACTGTGAGCCAGAATGGTCCAGTGCCTTTTCTGGGAGCAGCCCAGGAAAGTAATTTCTAGAAAGAGACTCCAGCTCACAGCAAGACTCCAGACTCACAGTTGGGCGTTTTCCAGTGCATCAGTCCCTCCTCTGCAAACCTTTCAGTTATGTGCATTCATCACAGAATAAGAAGAAAAATAAAATATAAGGACAGAGAAATTCCTCAGAAAGAGGATGTGATCAGCAAGTGTGCTGAGTGCTAATGCTAATTCCACAGCGTTATTCCAGTATAAGAAACAGGTTTCTCAAGGTTTACCAGACACCCATTAGTTCTAACAATCACACTGGAATAGCTTAAGGTGATTACGACCCCCCATGGAAACGATCTCCTCTCAGATAGAAGAGCTGCTGACCGTGTTGATGTGTCTGATCCAAACAGATTCAGTACAGCTGCCAGTGCTGGCGATGTAAGCAAGCCAGTGGCACTGCAGTCGTCCTGCAGCTCCTGCTTGGCCTGGAGGGGCTGCGGCTTCTTAAGACCTGTGAAGCAGTCACTGTTGATAGCAGGCCGCATCTGGGAGCTGTCTGGGAGTGCAGCAAGGCAGCAGTGTAGCTCTGTGGCTGTTGCCCAGCTGGGCTCAGCGCAGTCATGGCAACATGGCCCAGGGCACAGAGCAGCAGGAGGAGGGAGGGTGCCCGTGCTGCTGCCTGGCTGAGCAAAGCGGTGACACCACTCTCTCTGGTGAGCACCACCAGGCCGGCTGGCTAAACGCCAACCAGCTCAGGTACAGCTGCAGGAGTCTCATTTGAGATTCATCAAGCTCTCCATAGTGGATTGACATGAAATGCATAGCATATTTAGATGCAGAAAAACATGAAACAGATGGTAGAGAAAAAAACAGTAACTGAAATATTCTTAGTTGCCAGGATGCACATTCAAGAGCAGAAGCAAATGGGATGGGTCCTGCTGCATGCAGAGCTTGGGAGCATCCTCCCTGAAAGGAGGCTCAGAAACATTTTAGAAAGAACCTACAAGCTGATTTGCTTTGTCCTTCTCTTTGTTTTGCTAATAGTAAAGCTTAACCTGGCTCTGTCATTTCTCTAGGTGGGAAGGAAGCTTGCTATATTAATCCAGGTCTTGCCTTCTTTGTGGCATGGTCTGTTTTCTACTAACCATCTCTCCTTTTCCAGTGGTTTGTAAAGACTTGGGCTCTTTCTCTGCAGGGCTTGGCTTTTTATTTATTTCATTCTTTTCATCCTGGTAATTCATGTGCATATGCTTTCAACAGGTACAAATCGTAACCAAGAAGATCGACTTAAGTCACGTGACTTCCAAGTGTGGCTCACTCAAGAATATCCACCATAAGCCAGGTATAAAGAAATAGTGGAGAAGGATGCTGTTGTGGCATGTCAGTTTGATAAGATACTGAAATGCACAGTGAGGTCAGCAAAGCATGTGCTTAAATCCCATGAGAATAAGTAGAGTTGCAGCACATGCTTACAGTCTGAATATGTGTTGAAGATTTTATATTTTGCTGAACATGCAGCGTGATATTCTGTGCTTCTCTAAAACCATTAGATCTCAACTAAAAGAGAAGTAACATGAGTGCATCTATATACACCAGGTCAGACTTTCTCCTGAGCCATTACAACCTCTTAACCTGTATTTCCTTCTGTGTAGGAGGTGGCCGTGTGAAAATTGAGAGCGTGAAACTGGATTTCAAAGAAAAAGCTCAGGCTAAAGTTGGTTCACTGGAAAATGCCCATCATGTACCTGGCGGTGGTAACGTCAAGGTAAGCAGACAGCCATCAGAGAACAGGCTGCTACCACTGTGCCCCATGCCCAGTGAAATTACTAGAGCTGTGAATTCAGTGGTGGCTCTGAGCTGAGTAGGAAGCATGTTTGTTCTTCTTCAAGCACACTCACATGCCTTTTGTTCCCTCTGAAATTTGGAATGAATGATCTCGAATCCGCATCTAAGCTGAGAATGAATCTTAAAGTGAAACGTCCTGTGGTTTGTGCACTGGCTTTCCCCCTAAAGATAAACCTGGTTTGGGACCATTATACAGCATAGGTATGATCTAATAACTTTGTAGTATGGGTATCCCAGTGGATCAGGACTGCTTTGTGAAACAGAAGAGAAACATCTTGAAAGTAAAATCATTCCCACAAATGTTTGAAAATACAGATTTTTGAAACAAATCACAATGCCCATAAAATGTCTATTAAATTTATACAGCTAGCAATGATACTCATCGTTAAAGTATCTATCACAAACAAAATAGAATGGAAGATAGTAAGCCAGTATATAGTAAACAACATGAAAAAAATACTCAGTTTCAGTTATTCTAAGGAGTGAAGAAGTTTAAATCCTTGTAAGAGTTCTTAACAATAAACAAAATGAGACCCAAGTGGTGATCTACAACAAGGTAATTTGGTGAATATATAATGTGTTGAAATGTTTGCTTTCCTGGAGCAGATTGACAGCCAGAAGCTAAACTTCAGAGAGCACGCTAAAGCCCGTGTCGATCATGGGGCTGAGATCATCACACAGTCACCAGGCAGGTCCAGCGTGGCTTCACCACGCAGACTCAGCAACGTCTCATCCTCTGGAAGCATCAACCTGCTTGAATCGCCCCAGCTTGCTACCCTCGCTGAAGATGTCACGGCAGCCCTTGCTAAGCAGGGCTTATGAATTTGCTCATTTTGCGTTGTATGAAGTAATAATATTTAGGCATGAGCTCTTGGCAGGAATGGGCTCAGAGCAGATGTTACATTCATTCTTTACTATGTCTAAAACTAAGTCACATCCCAAGATTGTAGTTACCATACAGTTAAAAAAAAACCAGAAAAAAAAGTAATTCAATAGATGCAGAAATTGGCCTGATCTCCATTTACAACAGGAAGACACTGGCTTTACATGGGTATACAACTGCAGTATGTTACATTGGACAATTATTGTTGCTCTGCTCTGTCTTGCATGGAGTACCGTACTATGATAAAATGCATTTTTACCTTTCATGTGCCTGAAGGCCATCCACCTTTCTGAAGAGCCTTGTTAGTATCCCAAGTTGCTCATTTCACTGTTCTGTTGATAGATGGGGAAATAAAAAAAAGTTGCCCATTGTAAGTTATTATAGGTTAAATTGACAGTCTGCTTACCAGAAGGAAGGGCATATAGAGAAATTCAAGTTTAATTAAGAAAAAAATATGTGTTATTTTGTATAAATGAGTAGAACAAAAGTTGAATTAAGTTATTAACATTTTTTGGACCTGGTTAATTACGTCAGTGTATAGCTGAAAAGCCAATAAATTATTTAACTAATAACTAAAAATAGTAGTCGAAAACATTTGAACCATGCTTGGGGAAGTGATGTAAAGAAGCTGTTGAAAGCAAACACTTCCACCCCAACGGACTTGTGTCTGATTAGAAAGTTGGTTAAGCGGCTAGATTTGTGTACGCACCACCAGTTTCACATCCTTTCCATCTGTTTGATACAGTATTATAGATATATATATTTCTCTGTGGCCATTTGTGATACACCCTCCTCATATACTTGAATATTCTACTTCTTTATTCACAGTATCTGTGTCTCTTGCACCCTTTGGTGTTGCAATTTTAGGTATGTAAAAGTAGATGTTAGCAGGGTTTTTTTCCCTACTCATAAGACTACATTTAAAAAAGATGAAAATTTTAGCATGAAGTTGCTTTCTGTAACAACTAAAAGCCGTGACCCTGTTTTAGTGCCAGATGCAAGTCTCTTCTGTGATGCTAGAAAAAGGATTCCTTCCCTCTTCCCTTCCCTCCTTTCTTCACAAAGGTATGATTTTTGTGGGGTCCAGATATTTGTAAAAGGGTCTCCAAAGATGGCTGAGTTTGGATTCTGGATTTTTAAAAATTCCACGATAGTTTGATTCCGGCTTTTTTTCTTTCCCCTTTTTTTTTTTTTAATACTCCTGTAGTAACAGTGAATGTTAGATTTATTTATTTTTTCTTTTGCTAAAGTTGAAACACAGGAAAAAGTATTAAGATGTTGTTTTCACTCCTTTAGTGATGTCTTGTGTACACTCAGGCACTCAGATAACAGTGATAAAAATAACAGAGACGCCTGTAAATTATAGTATGTGAATAAATAAAATGAGCTCCCTAGACTGGGTTGCCATAGCAATTCATCAATAAATAGGGCATCTTAAAATCTGAGCAAAGTGGGATTATATTGACTATAAAAAGTATAAGGAAAAGTGTGCATAAAAGATAAAGGGCAGAGATACAGATAAACAACTGATCTAACGGAGTTACCTGTGAGAACTCTGAGCTATCTTACGGACTCTAAGAGAACACTGAAGGTAATATGGTAGTATTACATATCAGCAGATAATAATCTGCTGATACTATATATACAGTAGACATTATGAAATGACCAGTTTACATTCTTGCAGATTGTTTGATCTTTTCCTTTTGAAATCTCTAAACTTTGCACTGTCAGTTGAGCTATACTTGATACATGTATTAGGTTAACATTGTGTGTTGGAAGCTTTTGATCTGTTCTTGTTCCTTCTTAATTTGTGTGTGTGTGTGTGTTGGGGTTTGATCTGAAAAGACTTAGAGCAGATTTTTATGTCTGTGGAGAAGGAGTCTATTAATTAATAGCCCAGGATTCCCCATCATTAAATTCAGGAAGTAAATGCACAGTTACTAGACAGTAAATATTTAGTGGACCAAAGGGGGATTTTTGGCTAAGCTGTCACAGCAATACAAAGACAAAACAAAATGGTTAAATCTCTAAAAATTTTACTGAATATGAACTCTAATAGGCCTGCACACAACATTTCAGCTCTACAAAAAGCTTTTTCACACTATAAAGTACCTAATACCATTTGTAAGTCGGTTGTTTTATACACAGGGCAGTGAGTTTAGAACCACATTAAGTGCATCTGGAAGATCGTAGAATATCTCAAATTGGAAGGGACCCATAACGATCATCAAGTCCAACTCCCTGTTCCTCACAGGACTACCTAAAACTAAACCATATGACTAAAAGTGTCATCCAGGCGCTCTTTGAATTCTAACAGGCTTGGTGCTGCGGCCACTTTCCTGGAGAGCCTGTTCTGGTGACAGGCGACCCTCAGTGGAAAACCTTTTCCTGATGCCCAGTCTGAACTTGCCCTGATGCAGCTTCATTCCATTTCCTTGTGTCCTATTGCTGGTCACTAGAGAAAGATCAGCACCTCCCCCTCTGCTGCCCCCCTTGAGGAAGTTGTAGACTGCAATGAGGCCACCCCTCAGCCTTCTCTTCCCCAAGCTGATTTCTGCCTTGTGTTTGTCATACTATTGCTTAGAGTAAACCTAAGAAATTACATGGAAACAGTGTCAAGTGAGGTGCATCACAAGCCTCTTCCCATTTTTCCAGAAAAACAACAGACAGAAAGAAAAAACAACAATATTTATATCACATTGCTATACTGTCACTTAATATAAATTAGCCTTGCAGTGGGTTTGGTTTCTTTTTTCATGCCTTTTGCCAATGTGAAAGAGAGTCTATGGTACTACTGACCCTCAGCTTCTCTGAAGCTGAACACCAGCTAGTGAGAACAGCGTTAACCTGAGACTCAAGCTTTTTTATTCTGCTTTTAAAATTTACATACTCTAGAAAATGAAGCTTAGTTTAATCCACCTATGAGTCCAAAGTTAGAGTGGTGTAACACACCAAGTCATTTATTTCATGCATAAAAATGAGCTTACTTGTCTTGATTCAAGCAAAGACCTTTGTAATCGTAATCATCCTTCCATAGAAAGAATCCTAGAATGCTGTGGAGTTAAATGAAAAGAAATCAAGAGTTTTGTGCTGTTAAATAAATAATAATTAAAAAACAAGTTATGTTACATGACTCTAGATGTTCACTGAAAAAGCTCATAATAATCTTAACTTCTCAAGAAGAGTGTTGGTTTTAAAAACAACAGTTTTGTAAATATGCCCACTTAAGAAGATAGAACCAGCTTCCTGGAAACTGCATCTGTTGTGTTTCTTTTCCACAGGCATGTTGAGCCCGCAGGTATGTTGGGTGCCTGAGACCCAACTCTGTAACAAAGCAGAGATAATCTAGACAAAAGGAATGGTGAAACCTTGTTTGGGTAGCTAGGGTAGAGCCCCAAATTAATAATCCATCAAGTTGTAGAGTCAAAAAAAAGTGCTTCTGCCTCATCTGCAGAGTTCTGTTTCTATATAACTGCAAGGAGAATGAAATCAAAGTGGAGCAAACCTCTGTCCAGCAACAGTAAAGGAAAAACTAATACTGATGAGGGAAACTGTGTGCCCACAAGGGCTATGTATATTTTCACTGTACAGCAGTAAATGGTATTATCCATTCAACGCTCTGCTAAGGTACAGTAGTAGTCTCATCGTGACTGCTTACAAATCCAAGCTTGCCTATATATGCGACCCAAAGGGAGTCCAAAGGCAGCCTGTGTGGACTTAACACATGTGAGCAGAAGTTTTTTTCTGTGCTGGACCAAATACTCTTCCAAACCCAAGTACAAATGTCCCTTCAAAGGCAAATGCCTTGAAGTGCAGATCACGTTTGCTATGAAAATTGACAAAGGTAGATTTCTAGCCTAGATGTGTGTTGAGTTCACTCGCTAGTCAGATTGCTAAAGCAACTCCCTCTCCAACTCCAGCAATTCCCACTGCAGGAAGGTAAATGTGTAAAACTTGGAAAGGTCAAACGTATAAAAGCCACTTCAACTTTAGCAAAGAGAAAAAGCCAACAAATAAACATGCTGTATGCTGGGATGTCAAGGAATACAGTCTGCTGTTACAAACCTGTGTTTTTTCTGATAATTCTAGAGCCTGTTACCATAAAAGAGGCATTTCTTGAATGGCTGGTGGTAGGTAGTTCATGTTTTTCAATCCGATTTGCAATTGTATTTGTTGCTGTATAGTGATTGTTTTGCAAAATAAAATCGCTTGTCATCTAATTGCTTGTGTCAGTTTCCACTGTTCACGGTGCAGCTCCTCCCACGTTCAACCACTGTGCATCGCTGCCCTGCATGGAGAAGTGGCACGCGCCTGCCGGCGCTGCGTAGTCAGTCTTGCCAGGAGAGGTACGAGCAGATCAAGTCATGTTTCTCAGTTAATCCCCATTACTTGTTGCTGAGAGAATCAGTTTTTTATAGCTAGCGTCCTCTTCTGCAGCCCAGAAGGCCGAGAAGGCCAACCGCATCCTGGGATGTATCAAGAGAAGCGTGGTAGGCAGGTCAAGAGAGGTGATTCTCCCCCTTTACTCTGCTCTTGTGAGACCCCACCTCGAATACTGCATCCAGTTCTGGTGTCCCCACCATAACAGGGACGTGGATCTGTTGGAGCCTGTTCAGAGGAGGCCACAAGGATGATCCAGGGGCTGGAGCACCTCTCCTACGAGGACAGGCTGCGGGAGCTGAGA